TGGAAACAAAGCCAAATGAGGGTACTTTATACAGCTGATCGTTAAGACTCCTCGGTACTACTTAGTCAATAAAGAAACGCGCCGTTTTTCGTCCGAAAAGCTATTCCTGTTATGATTAAATTTATATTTAACAGACCAAATTCGTATGTTAAAATGAAGGAAAAATATTATTTAAGCAAATTTACCTGTAAATGGTCAAAAATATCAATTTGCACAAGTTTTCGTTAGCACAAAAAGGCAAAAAAAAATTCCACGGAAAATGTCGACAGGAAACTTTTTCAACGTAGTGGCATTGAAAATTTTATAAAGAAATATGGATGTTTGGAGCACTCTTACGAGATAAAGAACTTCGCATCATGTTATCTTTGGCCTGTGAACCACATCACGTGCTTGGCGACTTCAAAACTAGGGTGGGCATGGAAGGTATTTTTGGGGCAACAGACGGGAAATTCAGCCACCACGACCAAACATCCCCAAATGCGCTGAGGTATGATCGACTTCGGCGGGGACAGAAATATGGTTGTCTGTAGCACTTGATTCCAACACAAAAAAAGTTCACCAAAGCTACTTGGCTGCCTCCAGATCGAAAATTCTCAATCAAATTGATCAAGGGGTGATTGTCGAAAGACATGTATCCAGTGTTTTAGACGTGCGTACATTCCAGGGTCCTAATATCGACTCGGATCTTTATCTTGTCGTAGCGGAAACACGCACGCGCCTGTGCGTATCAAAGAATGACCGTCAACAAACACAAGGAAGGAGGTTAAGCTAGTGACGGATGCCCAGAGTATATTGAATTTATGGAAGGAACACCCCAGCCTGCTGAACAGCAGTGAAAATGGAACACCCGGAGATGGTGAGCCCGAAATTCCTAGTGATGCCGATGGAAAAGTTGTTCCGTTAACCAAGTATGAAGTAGTCCGAAGAGTAATCACCCGCCTAAAGAACAACAAAGCGGCGGGGGGGATTGGATTACCAGCCGAGCTATTCTAATATGGCAGTGAAGAGCTGACAAGGTGCATGCATCAGCTACTTTGTAGAATAAGATCGGACGAAAGTAGGCCCGACGATTGGAATTTAAGTGTGCTCTGCCCAATCCATATAAAAGGGTACCCCACAGTTTGCGGCAATTACCGTTAGATAAGCCTCCTTAATATCACCTATAAGGTCCTTTGGAGTGTATTGCGTGTAAGACTGAAGCCCACTATCAATAAACTGTGTACGGCTGTGCAAACTGACTTTGAGCAATACTTTATGCTCCGTCAGAATTGTTGTGCGGCTGCTGGCCTACGCCGATAATATTGACATTATTGGCCTCAACAACCGCGATGTGAGTTCTGCTTTCTCCAGACTGAATAAGGAAACGCAGGATATGGGCCAGGTAGTGAACGAAAGCACAGCGAAATATCTCCTGTCATCAAACAAACAGTCATCGCATATGCAAATGGGCTACTACGGCCCTGTTGGCAGTCATAACTTTGAAAGTCTGTAAAACTTCGTCTATCTAGGAACTAGTATTAACACATACAACAATGTCAACCTTGAAATCCAGCGCAGAATTATTCTTCCCAACAGGTGCTTCTTTAGACTGAGTAGGCATCTGAATAGTAAAGTCCTCTCTCGGCGAACGAAAACCAAACTATACAACAAGTCGCTCATCATTCACATCCTATTTTATGGCGCAGAAGCGTGGACGATATCAATATCTGCTGAGTCGGCTCTAGGAGTCATCGAAAGAAAAGTTTTACGTTCGACTTATGGTCCTTTGAGCATTGGCAACGGTGAATACCGCAGACGATAGAAAGATGAGTTGTACGAGCTATACGATGATATTCACATAATTCAGCGAATAAAGAATTGGTCAGCTAGGTCATGGCTAGGTCATGTCGTCCGAATGGATGAAAGCACTTCAGCTTTTAAAGAATTCGATGCAGAACCCGCTAGTGTAAGCAAAGGAAGAGGAAGATCTACACTCTGCTGGAAGGATCAGGTGGAGAGGTACCTGGTTTCATTTGGTATTTTCAATTGGCGCCAAACAGCGAAAAGAAGATATGAACGGCGCGCTACAATTGATTCGGCTGTAATCACGTTAGCGGTTTCACCGTCAGTAAAGATGATGAAAAAGAAGATATGTGACAAGAAAAGTAGATTAAAAAATATCTTTTGACTTTAGGATTAGCTGGGGGGGTAGAACTTTCATTATTTTCATTAAAATTGGATTTTTTAAGAGTGGGCAAAGTAAATTTACTGATTAGTTCTACGATATTATACTCACAGTTTTTTTTTTCAAATATACCCATTTATAGTTTCATCGTCTGAAAATGTTAGAAAAAATGCAAAAAATGCATCGGCGCTCTTACGAGGTAAAGAGTTTCTTATCATATTATCTTTGTTATTAAATGTCATAAGGTCAACTTTCTAAAAAAAACTTTTTGATGTATTATGAGCATTCTATTAACCATTTTTCGTACATTCGCGCACCACCCAATCTCTTTTAACCCACCAAATTCTCTGTGCGATTTATTTTGGGCATTATATTTTTCTTATTGAGCCCTTAGAGCTCTAAGATATTGAAAAGAAATATTCAGCTAAAGCTAACAATCTCTATGCTATGCAGTAATGCTCTCCGCTGTAAAGTTAATTAGTTTTTTGGTAAGGCTGATCACTAGACTTAAGCGCAGCCTTTGAAGTAGTTTTGTATTAGCCTTCGTCTTTTACAGGGTGCAGGGGCTACATTCACTCCAATGGTTCTGTGTGTGAGGTTTTTTTTCCTGAGCGGTTCACCTCAACAAATTAGTTAGGACAGGCGATGCTCAAGATACAACTGGTATTCTTCATACTCTTCACCACATCGGGCTGCCACAGCAGCTTGCTGTAGAAAATTACTCTCAGCTTCTTGGTAAAATGTTAACAAAAGCCAACGAGGCTATGAGTTGTATAAGCGTTCTTAAGAAATACAGGAATACGTTCAATAGGGAATCGTAAAAACAATCACCAAAAGAGGCTGATTGGAAACAGATGACGTGTCATGGGTGAAGGGAAAATGTCGAAACTTGGATGCAATCGTCACTGTGTTGGTATTCTGGTTCGACGCTCTGCAGACGTGAAGGGTATAGTCGTGAGTTTCTGCTATCAGGTCAAATGGACAATAAGAAATAATACCTGTAAATTCACGCGATTCGCATAAGGAATCTTGGAAAAGGGTACTCATTCATCAATACGATAGTTCACAAGCTCACACTTTATTGATTGTTCAATAATTTTTGCTCAACGATACCCAGTCTAATATAAACCAGCCAAAAATATCCTGGAACTTATCCTATTTACAAAAATAGAGAAAGCCATAAGATTGCCTTGGTTAAATAGTCGTAGAGGACATAAGAGGATACTTTTATCTCAAAGATCGAGATTGAAAAGTGTTTCGGAGGTTGGAGGAAACGCTGGAACAAGTGTGTAAGCACTACTTTGAAATAAATGAACTTTGTTTTAAAGTTTTCAAAATTCTCATTGTTTTCTGGACATATTTTAAGAAATCACTACAGAAATAATTAATTATGATTTTTATTGGCATTGATTGCAATTGACTTTTACCATCGATTAGTGCTTGGATTTGATATTCTCGAAGAACTCGAGAGGCAAGAACCTGAAAAATTATAAAAATTATACGGTAACCTCTTCGCGGGGAAGACAAAAATTTACCAATTTAATGCAACACCCTTAAAGAGTAATATCATAGTACCCTCCAGTTCGGTGACTTATATCGAAATACGAGTAATTTTTGATAAAAAAAAACATAGCTGAAGGAAACATATTGACAGCAGAAACAATTAAACGCACCGAGCTTGGAGTATCTACAGACCTACCTACTAACGTATGAATTGTTAGTATGGTGGTCGGTACTAAAAAAGAAGTGCCGCGTTACTGCCATGGAACGGGTGTAACAAAGCAGCAGCCTTATATCCAAATTAGTTGGATACAGACTTCTAGCTGTGGATGATATGGTGACTAAGCGTTTAGTGAAACCGAGAAATAAACCGTTTCTGATTGGTGCAAGTCACCTAGTAGGGAGAATGGGCAGAGGACAAGGCCAACAATAATACTGAAGATATTCACATCCATATTGATAGATTCAAAACTAATACAGGCAGAGGAACAAGGTTCTTTTGTGACTACCCTAAAAACCAAGGAAGCTTCAAACTATAATAACTATAACTGTGAAACCATCAAATGAGAAACCGCTTCAATAGGTAAATCTAATAGGTATCTTGTAAACAGCCACGCGGCAATTAAGTAAATTAAATATGTACACATAAAAAACAGATCATAAACAGGCAATAACGAGGTAACACAGTGAACATCACTTGAATGCCTGGTCACGAATTGCAACACCAACATTTATAAGAGCTCGTGTATAAAGCTCAGTATTATTTTCAAAAGATTATCATTGGCTTTTTTGTACTTTTGCCAAGCACTCACAATATACAGTTTCTTGCTTTACTTCATTCACTCAATTTGCTAATGAAAACAAAAGCTTACTTATAACTGTAGCTACGAGCCGAAATAATTTTCATTTCACTCCCTATTGCTCTTTACTCCTTTATGGAGAGCAAAATAATGCAATTTTCCAGCACAAAACCTTGTTTTGGCATATTTTCGAATGACTGCTATTGTTTGCTAAATATAATGAAAGCTATATCACTCAAAAAGCTTAGGAGCATAGATACATGAATCATCATGTACAGGTGGACATTGTGCTGGAAATTTTGATAAAAACATATTAAGAAGTTTTAGGAAATACGCACACAGTGAGGAAGAGCAAAGAAAGGATGGTAAAATGTAAGCCAACTCATCAATGGGGTTTGAAGAAGTACAAATTAATGAGACACTGATTTAGAAACACTCGCCATTATTTATAAGAAATCGACAAAAATAATTCTTTTTATCCACAGTAATCCACTATCGCCTACAATGTTAATAAATAATATTTCCATTTTACTCACCACCATATTATTTATTGTGAATTTCAGCTCAGCGCGTGGCCTCGACGGTGGCGTACTACAGTTGGCACGCAAAACATCGCCCGGTTCGTAGCGTGTGTGTTCGGTAAAAAGTGTTGGCCGTTTTTCGGGCAATTCTGTAACAAAGAAATAACAATATATATATATAAATATATATAAACTCAAAACTAATGGATAAGTAAAAGTTAAGAAAATGCAAATAAGCACGATTTCACTTAGACAGCAGGAGGCAAATTAGAGATAAACGAAATTCAATGACACATTACGCATATTAAATAGTTGCTAATTAAATTTCAATCCCTTTTAGCGGAGACAATTCAATTTTTGGCTTAATTGTCACATAAGTTAGCCCAAAAGTTACAGACGTAAAGGAAATTTTCACAAAGTTAACCCTAATAAATTATACTCTTAGGTCTGGAAAAACTGTAAGGCAAAGAAATATGTATGCATGTACAATATGTAGGTAGACTTTTTTATGCATAAAACTATATACGCATACAAACCTGCAAATACATACATATAGACATATATCCCCATAAGGATTTATTAATGTATTTATCTAGCGTACATACGAGTTTGAAGTACAAAGTCTCGGGACTGCCGCACACATGCGTGGAAATTGTTTCAAAGTTTTTCCTTTAATTTAATAAGAAGTTGGGTCTTAACTTTTGTTGCGTCCATAAATACTTTAAGAAAGTTTTCTGTCTTATGAAGACGTAGCAAAAACTGTTAACATCTTTATCATTTCTTTTTTATTTCGATGCTTTCTTACTTAATCATATTTGATATATATATGCTGTATCTTACTTACTTATGTGTGCGAGTATTTTTTATGCAGCTAATTATTTTCTGGTAGCAAAAATTTTAGCGAACCGTCAGAAATTTTGGATAGATATAAAAAAGTGATAGTCACAATTAAGTGGATGGTTTTTGTGTTAAAAATTTTAATTTCTTTATTTCAAAAGAGTTTTTTAAAGTTAAAAAATTAATGGTGACCTGAAAAGATTCATAAGCAATAAAATTTGTGTGTTTAAAAATTAAAAAAAAAAAATATAATATCTCTTGAAACATAACTACTATACTGATTTGTTGAACAGAATATTTACTATGTAATCGTTGATGACATTCATGTTGTCACTTTCAAACTATGTAATTCTCATTCTCAAAAATTACCGTTAGTTTTTTCCGCGTTATACTGTTGACATCATCTACAGCTGCATCATTAGTGCATCGCTACAATTTTTCCACCGTGGGTGGAGTGTTGAATGTATTCAAATGCCATATTACGCATCTTACGCTGCGCCAATGGCATGCCACTCAAAAGAGCAGAGATGGACTAAGTGATAAAACAGACCAAAAAATCAGATATCCAATCTCGGTTATGAGTTGGTAATTTCATTTGCAAAAAATAAACACTTTACCCATATCATTTCATTAATCATTTGTGAATTGCAGGAAAAAAGTAGTATGCGCCTATAGTTATGCAAGGAATTTTCGTACCTCATGTAAGGAGTATTATTTTTGTTCTGAAATTCACAAAAAGTAATGATTTTTAAAATTGAAAATGATATTTGTGGAAAAATTCATGAACTAAACTTCCACACATCAGACTGTGTTTTCGGTTTGTTTAATTAACCTGTATCTGGTACTTGTTGTGGACCATTTCACCTGGCGGGAGGAAGTCATAACGTACTATGAAATTAAAATCGAGGATTATAGGAAACATAACCCTCATATTCGACCGCACTTGCCGCAGTTATAATACGTTTCACTATATCTAAATCATATTTAACTTACACTCTTCGATATTTTTGCTCGATTTTCAACAATATCATCAGCGATTACTCTTTTTATGGTACGACAGTCATTCATAATAATTTTTCTTTAAATATTATACACGTTATTATTTTTTTCAGTTTGTTGCGAACGCAGAGCATTCATTATTTTCAGCATGCCTACGTCCGTTTAGTTATTGCTTATGTCAGAGCTAATCTCTTGCTTTACTTAAAGCAGCCTCATCTTGGGAGCTTTATGTCATGTTTTACACACTTTGTTGTGCTTTATTCCAGTTTTTGAACATAATATTATGGAAATCTTCATTTCATTTCTTTCGATAAATGTTTCCATTTCGTTCTCGCGCATAAAACACATCTTACCCAGTAGATGTTAGAACAGCTAAAAGTCGCATCATACTTCAGAAGCATTTGTACTAATATAACAAATAAAATATTTGACGATAGAACTCTACAAACACGCTAAATATAAAAACCCAATAGTTTTGAAACACACCTGCTGAAGCTCAATGCCGAACTCTCCATTGTTATCTTTGAGAGCACGCCTTATATAGTCTTTATAACGGTATATTCACTAACAGAAAGAATAATAGGGACAACACGAAACAATAGTGACACGCCAGAAGTTTCAAGAGCTTGGCATGGAGGTTCTTATGCGTTCAATTTATAGTATGGACCTCATTTCAAATGATTATCGCATCTGTTTGTGTATAATGCGAAGACTTTAACTAATAAAGGATCAGCCGAATCGATAGTCGGCGGATCGATGGTCGTAATACGGACAAAGGCTTCTAGGATAAGCGACAACGATGTTACCTTTAAAATTACAAAAAAATATCGCACAGAATTATGCATATTCGACATAAAGCGGATACTTTCAAATAAAATATATAAAGCCTTTAAAAATGTATGCCCTTTTACTAGGATTTTGTAACCCACAAAAAAGAAATTATCAAATAAATATTTCCAACATTTAAATATCATAAAATTTCGATTCCAAATTTTATAAGAAAACACTACCGAAACTATAATTTTGTATATCCAAAATTTTCTTTTAAATAAGATTGAAAAAAAAAAATTATTGAAAATTTTTTTATGAAAAAAATAAATAAATAAAAATTAGATAATAATAATATTAAATAAATTCGAATTTCATAACGAATTTTTTTAGAAAATCGTATCCAAACATTTTTAATCTAATTAAAATTCTTATAAAAAGTTTTTGGTATTAAAAATACTCAAATAAATATAAGCGAAATTTAATTGTCTATTTGAAATTTTTTGAAGTAAGATATTAAAAAAAATCATTTTCAATAAATAAAAACTACAAAGTACGAAAATCAATAAAAAAATTATGTATGTCAAATAAAGATTTTCCAAAATAAAAGTATTTTTGTTTGAAAATTTCCAAAAAAAAATTCTTTAACATTAAAATTATCAAAATTGTTTTTCATAAGAAGATTTAAAATAAACTAAAAAAAAATTCAAAGCAAAATTAAGAAAACAAAATTGTTTTTGATAAAAACCGTCTGAAAGAAAACAATTAAAAAAAAATTTTCAACATAATCCAAGCAAAACACATTCAAAGATACATCTGTCCAATGAAAAAATCCAAATATAGTTATCAAAAAATATTCAAGACGATTTTTCGAATGAAAGCAATACAGATCAAATTTTCAATTACGAATTTTATAATTCAAGATAATTCAATCTAAAAATAAACAAATAATAATTTCCAAGTAGTTCATATTTATGTAGTAAAAATGTTAAATTAATTTTTAATTGGAAATTATTTAAAAAAAAATTATTCGAATAAAAGTAAGTCAATATAAAATTTTGCATGTCGCTTAAAAGTTGCTCATATAAAAATTTTCAAGTTAAAATAATGCTAATAAAATTATAAAATAATAGTTTTTCAAATAAAACTTTCCACGTTTCCTACACCACCATTTAGCAAATACTTATGGATGTACCGAACGGAAATTCTCCCATAGTAAACTCGTATGCATGCCCACTAAAGCCATTGCAACCTTTTTCAATTTACCCATGCGCAGCGTCGCCATACACATAAAGGCAATGGCAACTCTAACTTGCCCGTCATGGCCAACAAAAGTCAAAAATAACTTCGCTTAAACTCGTACACTCCAACACTTACAACAACTAAATAAACGAACATTTCCATTTCGTTTTATAAGTTGACGTCTTCAAAGGAGAAGGAAGGAAGGAAAGTAAGGGAAGCAAAGAAAGAAGAAGAAACTTCACATAACTTTGACGAACTTTCATAACATCTAACCGACCAATAAAACCTCGATGTGTGTGCACCCTTTTTTTTTTTTGCATGGCAAAGCGGACTCAACGCAGAATTCCTATGCACTCTGCAAGACAAGTCGGCAGCGTTAACTCTTAGCTGTGATATTTTCATAAGGCATCTACGGCAAACTTTTTAATTAAGTCACCAAAACAAAGTAACTAATGAAGAATATTATTTCCATGCCAAAGGCGGTTACTAAATGAAGAGCAAGATGAAGAAGTAGAGGAGCAGTGAGCGCATTAATATTCTTACATTTATGTATGTATGGAGAAGTGTGTTGGGCTTGTACATATATATGTATATCAGCAGAAACTTAATGTTGGCAAACACTTTGACAATTCAAACTACAACAACAAACTACTACAACTGCAACAACTACGAATATAGTACTTTATGTATGGACTAAAATACTTAAGCAAAAATTACTATAGCTATATTACATATGTATTTGTATATGTACGAGTATGCGAATGTTTGTGTTTGCCAACATCTACACTCAGCATACTCACACACTCTCACACACTTGAGGGAGGTAAATTTCCAAAGCTCAACTGACCCGAGGTCAAAAATCATTTACCACAACTTTGCTCTTGCGACGGTCAGGCAAATTAAAATCAAATTCATTGTTTCGTTAGAAAGTTCGGTCGGGTCGGTTCGGCAGGGTGTCGATGTCGGTGTCGTTGGTGCTTTATGGGCGTGTTTGGCGTTTGGCGTTTAGCAGCGCATCAAAGCGTAAGCAGTTTTGACCTTTTCTTTAGGCGTTTCTCTTTGAGCTTAGCAAATATAAGTAAATTCTACTTTTTTCTCGCCTTTACTGGTTGTTGGCATTTTTATTTTTGCTCGACGCTTCTTTGGATTTTTGTTGGTTTATTTCCATGTTGCCCCTTTTTAATGAGGGTCACTGACAACCTTTCAAGTTTAATTTCAAGCAGCTTTTGTTGGCACATTTGGTGCTTGGCATTGACTTGTGGTTTGCTGCCATAGTTTATGCAAGTGAAATGGCTTAAAAGTC